GGTAGTTTTGAGCACTGTTTCTATTTCTTTCGTTAGAACTTCTGGGATGTTTTCTTCATTGTTAAGTGCTTCTTCTCCAAGTGTCTCTGGGGCTTTGTATAATTTACTGTAAAACTTGGTTACTTCTTGAATTATTTCATTTCTGTTTGTGGTCCTGGTGTTTTTGTTTACCAGTGCAATTATTTTATTTTTTCCCCACAATTAGTGCTCTTTTTATCCTTTTATAACTTTTTCTATTTTCATTGCATTCTCAATCAGTTGTTCATTGTATTTCCTAATATCTTCTGTAATCTGTTTCTTAGTGCTTTACATAATTTTTTGTATTCTATTCTCTATGTATTAGTACTTGCTTTCATTTCCCATTTGTGTTTTAACTGATCTTCAGTTTTGTCGGACAGTTTCATGTGTTCATTTTTTTGCTGCAGTCCTCCTATCATCTTAGCACAGTCGAGAATGATTGTCATAAGGCAATCATTCTCAACTGTGCAAAGCTATTGACTTGGTCATGTAGACTTTCGTCTAGTGCCCTTTGATACTGATCTGAGTTTTCCATTAGGTTATGGATGTTGATTCCTAATATTCTTGGTTTTTTGACTAACTTAAGTCTTTCTAGTTTTAAATCTAAGACAATTCTCAATCTGACTAGTCGATGGTCACTGTGTGTTTGGAATTTATTAAGAATGCTGACGTCTTTAATTTAATTGTGTGGGTCTTGTTGGTAAGAATGTAGTCAATTTCGTTCTTAGTCACTGCGTTTGGTGCTTCTGATGTCCATTTCCTGTTGGGGTTTTTCTTGAAGAATGTATTTGATATACAGTAGAGCGTCGGTTATCCGAAGGAATTCCAGTCGACAAATTAAAATTTTCTCCAGTGCTGTGGCGCTGTAATCTTTGGCTATGTCTTGGACTACTCAAATATTTTACGTTTTTGATACTAAATTAACTTCTGAAGTATAATTTTTTATTGTTTTTATATTTTTCAATATATTTATTTTGTTTGTACAAAATAAAAAAATAATTTTTAACGATACAATAGTCTATGTTAGGCTTAACATCGACGAAAATTCAATGCGAAGCGACATGCAACGGAGAAAAGTTTCAACACAGGATAAATTAATATATTTTTTCGTACATAATTGGTTATCCGAAAAATAAGTTATCCGAACAACCCCAGTCCCCAATTGATTCGGATAAACGACGCTCTACTGTATACATGTTCTGGTAACTTGCAAATTGTACCAGTTTTGTTCCTTTCACCAAATCCAGTTGCATATATTAAATTGTTGTAAATAATTAAATCATTCTTAAGTGTTAATTGCCATAATAAACTTCTAATAATAATTTAATAATTAAACTCTGTTTACAGATGATCCTAGTTGAGGGAATAAAAATTGTCAAATATTCCATTTTTCAAATTAGAAAATAAACTTCACAATATTTTTGTCTAAAATAACAACACTATACAATTTTTTCTAGACTTTCTACACTCTTTCATAATGTAATAACACATAGAAGTATCTTAAATGAGTTTTAAATAATCACTTCAAGACTATTCTATTATTTTTATTTTTTCAACTATTGAGCTTAAACTTACTGTAACCTTGACTTAGATACATAAATATGTAATTATCATTCTTTTATTAATAGCTATCTTGTGTTTCATAGAGAGAAAATTTTAAAATGAAATATGCGTTATCATCATCATTTAGAAATTCAGAACATTTTAGTAAAATCATATATAAAACTATTGTTGTATTTACTTGAATAATGTGTGCACTTCCTTTTTTAAGATACTGGTTTAAAAAAAAATCTAACCATGTTNATTTTAGTAAAATCATATATAGAACTATTGTTGTATTTACTTGAATAATGTGTGCACTTCCTTTTTTAAGATACTGGTTTAAAAAAAAATCTAACCAGTTTACCAGTTTAATGTAATGCATATTTTACAAATTTTGCTATTTTATGGTTGTGACACAACAGCATGGTTGCTCTTGCTGTTTTGTAGCATTCAATATTGTGGCTCTCAGTTTATAGTATTAAAACAAAAATACTGAGAGAAAAAATATTATTCATATATCAGATAAAGATACATTACTACAAATTGCAGATAATGTTAGTTTATAATAAATTAACTTATTAATGAAACTAAGAGATGATATACTGTCGGTCTCAGATATAGATTTAATTTACTTTATTTAGCTTTATTTTCACAAAATTAGCTGCACATAAACATTTAATATTATTGCTCATAACTATCAACTATATTTATCACTAGCAAAATAAGTAAAATGTTTAGTAACTGAAAACTGGAAACAAGCTGAATTTCATGGATTGCACAGTCAGATTGCCATCAAAGTTGTTTCAACAATTTTGTGGCAATCTGACTTTTGATGCTGATTATTTTTTATATTTTTTTGAAAATAGTGTGCAGATTATCTGACTAAATATGGTAATATAATCAATTGCCAAACGATCGCCTAAATATCGGGCTATAACATGGCTAATTAAATGATTGGATTAAAATAAATTTACTTTAATCCAATCATTTAATTAGCCGTGTTATAGCCCGATATTTAGGTGATCGTTTGGCAATTGATTATATATTACTCGGGCTGTGAGTTGATGTTATTTATGGTAATATAGTTCAAATCAATTATCTAAGAAGAATTTTATAGAAAGAAGCATGTGCAGATATTATTCAAACAGAATTATCTCAATTATTATTGTTTTTTCTCTATCAGACTTTTGATGCTGATTATTTTTTATATTTTTTTGAAAATAGTGTGCAGATTATCTGACTAAATATGGTAATATAATTCAAATCAATTATCTAAGAAGAATTTTATAGAAAGAAGCATGTGCAGATATTATTCAAACAGAATTATCTCAATTATTATTGTTTTTTCNATAAACAAATGATCAAATTTATCAGATATGAAGTTTTGGAAAGCTTTCTAATAAATAATGCAAATATTATACTCTTGCAAAGTTTGAGTTTTTACTTTTCTGGATTTTTTTTTTATAACAAAGGGAAAGTATGGTGATCAGTCAAAAAATTACCCATGGATTTTACATTTTTGGACTCACGACCTTGAATTGCTGAGAAATATGAAAAATTTTGGAGATTTTTGTGTGGGGGAGCATGATTTTGTTCACTTATTTTGAAGCTTAATAACTCCTGTTTCTTTTTTTTGAAAATTTCTTAAATTTTTCAGGAAGATTTATGTATTAAGGCATTGATGCTATTAAATCAAATGATTAAAAATTGAGGGTATGGGGTAACTTGTCATATCTTGAGTGGTGGTTGATGATTTTACTTGTTATTAACATTTACAAATTTTTTTTTTTTAGAACTCATTTCTACTCTTAAAATTAAATGTTTTACCATTTTACAATAATTAATAATATGAGATTTTGTTTGGTGAATTGCTTTTTTGTTCTTACATTACAATATGAAACTATGAGCTCTAAATTTTGGCTCTGTGGAGGACTTATCACACATAGTCCTCCATATAGCCAAAATTTAGTGCTCATAGTTTCATATAAGATTTTGTTATAAAAATCTATAACAGTTGGTGCCACATATAATTTTAACTCTTTCCAGGAAAGTTACACAACTTGTTGCTGGATTTTTTTAAAAACTGTTAAAAGTTCAGTTTTGTAATTATCAATGAATGAAACAACTTTTTAATATCCAGCACAAGCTATTTGTCAAATTAATATTTTCAGGTTAGTTTTTAGCTCTTCATTGGGTTTAAACTTAAATCCAGTGAAGGAATGCCAATGTTTGGAAATGTTTAATACAGGGTAATTAAATTAATTTAAATAAGAACATAACTAATGAACTTAAAAAAATAAGAAAACCATACACTACAACATGGCTATACTGACAAAGTAACATCCAATGAAACATCCAAGTCCATCATTTTAAGTCCTGCAATAAGGATATGTACTTTTTTAACAAAAACTTCCATGTGCTGGAAATTAATCCAGTTCTTTTCCTATTGATGTATTCACTGTGTGGTCTTGTTTCTTTCAGAGACACTTCACAAATTTTGTCAATTCCTTCTCTTTATTAGGTCTTATGATTCTTTTTAATTATCTTAACAGTTCTCAGTAGTTAATAAATGATTAAACATGATGAATAAATTTTTAATAATTACTAAATCAGTAATGTTGTCATAAAAATTATATAGCAAATTAACATTATACTTTCAAAGAGAATTTAGCAATCATAATGAATTTTAATTGTTTAAATAGGAATGTAAATATTATATATTATATTTACATAAAATATATTAGAATTTGCAAATATATTAAATATAGTTAATATAATTTTGTCATAAATTACAGTAATATTAATCACAAAAGTGTAAAATTATCCAATAATATCACTCTTGTTTAAATTGTTTGTGTGAACTTTAATATTATTCAAATTTTTAAATATTGATCAGATATGTAATTCATTGTACAGTATGAATTACATATCTGTAATTCATACTGTACAATATGAATTACATATAATTATGTTTAAATTAATTATTTAAACATAATTAATTTAAACATTAATTATGTTTAAATTAATTAAACATGAGTTTAATTAATTTAAAGATGTCATTTGTAATGTAAATAAGAAATGTATGTTTAATGTAAATTTCTATTGATGATGATGATGATTTATGAAATACGAGAAAAAGTGATTGAATCTTAAGTAAATTAAATTTTTTAACATTAATTTAAAAAAAAACAATTATATTACCTCCTTAAAATATTGTGTTTATATATAATAATTTATAGTACAGTAATCATAATTATCCAAATTAAATTCTAATGTATATAAATCACTTTTAATATAATAATTTTTAATTTTGAAAGTTTCATATTTTGTAATGTTGTGTATATTTAGATATATCATATCAAAAATGATCACAAATGTACTGATGATTTAATTTATAATATTTTGTCTTAATTCTATATTGTTTCTTTCAAATTTTTCAGGCTAGAGCAACACCTAGAGAACAGTTACCTCCACGTCCACCTGTAAAAAGTGCTCCTCCAATAAGTAGAGTGTTTCCTCATAAGTATCTTGATCAAAGAGCACATGTTGTTAGCTTTAAGGGTTCAGATTCATGTATCCTTTTTTTTTAATTAATAAATATTGTTGTTAGTGAAATAATTATAATTCCAAAGGCATGTGCATCACCCAAAGTCAAAAGGCTCTAGCTCCAAAAAAAATTGAAAATCAGGTTGCAAACTTATCATACCTACTTAGTATCCTGTCCCAAAACTGTCCAATATCTAGGATGGAAAATGTTCTATAATAATTACAGAACATTTTCAATTTTTTATAGCTAGAGCCATTTATCTTTTGGCAGTACATATCTCTATATAATGCAATAGTTAAATTAAACTTATCATTAAGCATTTTTTCAATTATTGTTAATAAGAAAAAATAAAAATAGTTTCCAATTACATAGTTTAATTGTAAAATCACAATAATTTGAATAAATAGTTTAAATATTTATAGAAATATAATTTAGAAAAATACATAAATAAATAATAACAAAGTTTTAATAATTTTCTTTATCAAAATCTTACTTAAAATATTACTATTTAGTTTTCTTGCTGCTGTTTTAAATTTGTTCTGTAGAGCATCTTAATTGTTTCTCTCTGCACTCTGCAAAATTTTAATTAATGTTTAATGTTAATTTATATTAAAATAATATAAGAAAAAGAAAGTTTGCAAAAGTCACATCTTTATATCAAGTTGTCCAATAGAACAATATGTGTAAACATGAGTATTCATTGAACTGAAAAATTTGCTTTTTCTTTTTTTTTTTTTGTGTAAAATTATTTTAACATTTTTTTCTTATTTTCCAGTTTTTATTTTAATATTTTCATATAACAAATATTTTTCTTTGTGATAAAAATTTGATATTTTAAATTAAAATTTTATTATGACATTTTTCTACTAAAGAGATCTTTTTTTGTCAACTATGAAAATTTAAGATAATGAACAATAACAAAAATGGAATGGAAAATGAGAAAATTTTAGATTATTTCCATTAAAAAATGTTGTTAAAAGATTATAGTGTTCAACTTATTAATCATTTTAAAGTCTTATTGCAAAGTGCAGTCTTATTGCAAAGTATATTGTGTAAACCCAAAATTTATTTACAATATTGATATCAATGTACTAGAATGATTTGCAAAATTAAATTGCAAGCAATTTAGAAATAATAATAATTTGAAGAATTTTGCTGACATGATAATGATTAGTGCTATACTTATGAAATTCTTATAATTTGATTCTTTTTTAAATATTTAATTTCATATTGATGATATATTAATTCTTAATTTTACTAAAAGGTCTTTCCAATAAACATTACAATGAAACTAGTAATGAATTATATTTCGATCAATGTTTTGAAGTAGTTTGTAAATTAGGTGTTGGTTCTTTTGGTGAAGTAAGTATAATAATAATTCAAATCCAATTTTTTAAAATAAAAACTTTAGTTTTTAATTAAGATCCACTACCTCACTAACTGGTTATATGTAATAAAGACACTCAAAATTCCAAGACCAGTTAAAATTTCCAACAGACTTTACTCATATGACTGTTTTTATCCATTTAAAAACAGACTTTTTATCAATTTTTTTTTCTATTTAATAAGTTTTGTTTGGTTCTGCATTTGATATAGTTTACCTGATGTCTGTTTTTAAATGAATGGAAACATTCATATGAGTAAAGTCTATGAGGATTTTAACTGGTCTTAGTGTTTGTGAGTGTCTTTACTTTAGTTTTTTTTTTCTGTTGATCTAAACAATATTGTTTTTTTCTTCAAATATGTAATATTAATTATTTTAACAATACTTATATAACAATTTCTAATATTCAAAACTTTCAGAATAATAAATCTTTTATAATTTTTGAATAAAGCATCTAATTATTTGATATAATTTTAATGAAATTATGAGTTTTGTTAAATGACTTTGTATTTGAAAGTACTTTAAGAAAATAAGATATTATGGATTTAAATTAGTGATAACTACATTATAATCAATAATTTTTAATGTAATATGATTTATGCAATTGTAGTTATGTATTTAATTCAAAACATTAACTAAAACATTTTTGAAAATTATTTTCTATGAAATTAATACTTAGTTTTATTGACAATTTGATTAATGAAATAAAATATCATCATCTTTTAAAAAAATATTATAAATTTAGGTTTTTAAAGTCAGAAGTAAAGATGATGGAAAATATTATGCAGTAAAAAGATCAAGAGAAAGATTTAAAGGAGAATCTGATAGGTAAAAAAACAAACATAATTATTAATAACTTTTCTGTAGTGTGTAAAAATTTTATTTACTTAATAAAACAAGTTTAAAAAATTGAAATAAATTTATTTTGCAGTTTCATAAATGCAGTAGAGCATCGTTTATCCGAATGAATTGGGGGCTGGGGTTGTTCGGATAACTTATTTTTCAGATAACCAATTATGTACGAAAAAATATATTAACCTATCCCATGTTGAAATTTTTCTCCGTTGCATGTTACTTCATGTTGAATTTTCATTCATGTTAAGCCTAATGTAAACTTTTTAAAATAATAATTGTGGNTTTAGAAGTTGATCTAGTATCAAAAATGTTCGATTCAGCATGACACACAGTCCTCAGAAAAACACCACACAAAAGTGCCATGCTGCCAGCTAAAACACACACATCAACAAAAAAAAATATTGGAGTAGCCCAAGATATAGCCAAAGACTGCAGTGCCACAGCACTAACAAAATTTTAAATTTGCTGACTGGAATTCTTTCAGATAAATGACGCTCTAATGTATGTAAGAAAATAACAGAATTTTTTTATTTTGAGTAATTTTTTAACAATTAAAATAAATGAACTCATAATATATTCATTTTAAAATCTCATTTAGAATGAATATTTTTAATTAATCTGAATAAATATTAGGATGAAATCATAACTTTTTAATGTAATTTTATAAATACTTTAATTATAATATTAAATTAAATAACTTAAGACAAAGAAAGCTAGAAGAGGTGAAAAAGCATGAAGAACTTCCCAAGCATCCTAATTGTATATATTTTATTAAAGCATGGGAAGAAAGACAACATCTCTATATTCAGACTGAATTATGTGAAACAAGGTAAGCTGAAAAAATGAAAGCCACTAACATATAATGGGTGTCCAGAAAAAATCTGCACAAAATATCTCAGGCTTTTACTAATAGCCAATAATTTATAATTATGCTGCACATGTTATAATTTTAAAGTGCGTATGGAATGCTGAAGAACATTCTAGAATCTTTTTCTTCATTCAATTTTTCTTTCAAAATAGCAATCAAAGATGATGCTTTATGCCAAGAGTGTACAACTTTTATACATTAAATAAAACATTAGGGAAAAATTACTGTAAACCATTTTGCAAGTGAGGGAATTTCAAAATGGGTTATAAATAACATTGTCCAACATTCCAAGAGTGAATTACCACTATAGAGAAGAAAGGGGGTCTGGTAGAAAAGAGAAATTCTAACATAAAGGCAAATCGGGGATAGAAGAGAACCTTTTGAAGATTGCAACAAGGTTTCAAATTGATCTGTAACCGTAAAATTAAATCTTACACATTAATAGTTAACTTTGTGAGGCTTTGGAAACAAAAACACACATTAAATATCTAAAGAAACGGGTATTTCTGTATAGAATGGGGACACAACGATCACTGGAAAAAAGGAAATGTGGAAGTTCTCTGAAAACATTCATTTTGAATTGAATCTTCCACTCTCTCAACTTTACAATCAATGGTAATATTGGATTTTATCCCAGTGATATATTCTTAACACCTGCCAATGTAGTTTTCCAAGAAAAGGAAATTTGAGGGCAAAGTTTTGGTTTGGATTGCATTGGAACTGAAAGGATTGAGTCAAGCCCTAATTAGAAAATCAAGTTTTGCTATCAGTGTCCAGAAATATTTAAATGATTGTATATGATGTTACCTGATTCCTAAAATAAAGAAAAAACTATTCTGTTCTCAAGTAGAATGTCTTCTGGCTAGACCAAACAAGTTTCCATATACCAAAACCATACTGGATTATTGTGAGAGGACAACCTGAAAATATGCCAGAAATTAGGTCAATTGATGATTTTTGGGCAATTCCCAAGGCAGCTGTTTACAAAAAGAATAGAAGGCAAATAAACATGAATTAATTGATCAATTGTGTAAAAATACTGTCTGAAAAATTTAAATCAGTCTTATAGATAACTTACACTGCACACTTGAAGTTGGATTAATCATATTCAATAACATGGACTTGTAGAATTATAAAAATAAAAGATGATAATGTATAGTTTTTCATCATCTTTTCAAATGACTAGTTCATAGAGAATTTTTTTTACCAAGATAAAAACTATGTTACACAAACTTTTTGTGCAGAGTTTTTCCAGACACCTGTTAAAATATATACAGTGGAGCACCATTCATTTTATAATATTTTACATTTGTAAGTAATTTTTTTTGCTGGTTCCAAAACATCCCCATTCTTTTCAGTCCAAAATACAATATTTCATTTATACATCATTCCCTTTCTCATAAAGATAATGGATATTGCAATATTCTTTTAGAAAATATACTCAGAATTTCTAGATAATGTTTTTTTTTTGTTCTATTCTTATACCTCTCTTTACATTTCTGGAATTAAATGTGTGTAATTTATCCCAATGAATGTATTGTTTCTGAGAGAAGAATCAGAAAGTGCTTCACACCCATTAGCCTGGAATCTATCATTATATTGGAGAAATTTACATATTCATAGTAAATAGTTTCTAACAGGAAGATTGTTTATGAATTATGTTCCATTAAAAAAAATAAGTTTATTTCAGAAACTTTATTAGTTATAATTCTTAATTTTAATATAGTTTTTTTAAAGAAAATTTTAAAATTATAAAAAAAATTCTTTAGAGTGGTAAATGCCATTGCCAACAAATAAATATAAGTCTTGAGTAGACAAAAATCTTTTGAAATTTCTTGTAAACAATTAGCAACAATAATTATGCCTACTCCTATTTGACACTGATTTTTCAAAAAGAAAATGCACAATAAAAATGTATTATAGTTTCTAATAATAAAAACATAAAGTAAAAGATAAAATATGTTAAAAGTCATAATACTATAAATTTACTATAAGTAAACAAAAACTTAGTTCTCTAATCTTTGGTTATATCTTGAATTAATTTTCAATTCTACATCTTTTTCGGTTGTATGCCTCTTTGAGGGTCAATCTCTTGAAAGATGAGTAGATAAGTAAATGGTGCTCCACTCTGCAATAATTATTAATAAATAATAAAGTTCATATTTTAATTTATTTTTTAGCTGTGTTTATATATATACTTTTGAATGTTTTGCTAAAATAAGATTGCTTTGAAGAATATATTTTTAGATTAAAGAGATTAAATATGTTGACTCAAATTTGTCTATTAAATTAGAAACAATAAAATTAAAAACTAAAAGTTTGTTTTTTAATAATTATGTGTTTTAATGATTATTTAAGAAGATAGTATTATTAGTATAATTATTTAATTCTTAAAATAATTTGTCCTTGATATTTATGCAGTTTTTATCACTGCATAAAGCTTATGCATTTACTTTTGCATTGATTGTTTTCTTTATTGTTTTAAATTGTACACATATACAAAGAATGTAACTTAACCTGAGTAGAGTGAAAAATTTAAGATTCTACTTGCAGACAAATAAGTAAAATTGCTTCTGTTTATAATTGTCATTGTAGAGTATAACAAACTGTATTTTAAGAATGATATGGATCCTTGTCAGAAAAATTAAAGTAATTTGATAAGAGAACATACAGAAACAAGGTCTTTGCTGGAGTTAACCAGAAGTAGAATTAGTTCTTTGCTGCATCACACTGGCAAACTAGTGTCCTCAGATATGGCTCCAAATTTAAATTTAGATAGTCTTACTACAGTAATGAGTTTATAAAAGGTTGGTTTGGGGCCCTGTACATACTACTGTTTTGCTCACTCATATACAATATCACATTTTTCATATTAATGTGTAAAGATGAATAACCTCAATTTTCTGCTGAAGCAACTTGGTGCTTCAGCAGAAAATTGACACATCAGGTTTATAGATCACATCTTCTAGTTTAGAAAATCAGTTCCATTTTCTTGCAGTGATGGAATCTTTTTTAAATTGTATAGCTTTGGTGAGAAAGCTCCAGGTTTTCTAAGCAAACATAGCAGGTAAGTAAGTTCCTGCCACTTCACACTGTAAAAAAAAACATTTGGTGACTGATGGTATATATAATCTCTACATTTCTTTTAAAATTTAATATAGTATATAGCTCCAAAGACTATGTCAAAATTCAAGAGAATAATTATTTCCATTGAACAAAAACTTTAAATAGTAAACAAAATTGAAAACAGATCAATGCTAAAGTTTATAATGAATGATTATAATTTCAATACCATATTTTATCCAAAACAAAAAAAAACTTTTTTAATATTTAAATTAAGCTACTTTTTCCTTTTAAAATATGTTTTTTTTTTTTGAGAAATTTTGAATTATTTTTTTTTTATTCAACTGCTCTATTTTTATTCTACTGATGTTTTAAAAGCAACTTTTTGCATATCTAAATATTTTATATACAGGTAGCCCTCGGTTTATGCCGATTCACAATAATTCTGCTTCGCAATTCACTGTTTTGCGGTGTAATTCCCTGATTTTCCCTATGCCAGACTGATTTTCATTTCAGTGTTGAAGTATTTACTGAGCTGACATTGTACATTCATTAAAACAAAGATTTTTATTGAATATATTTATTTTTTCTGTTTAATATTATTGGATATGTATACATTTGCATTAAATATTAAAATGCTAAACGTTTAGGTTTTCACAAGTCAAGTTATTAAACTTAATAGTCCAATAAATGTCATTCAAATCTAGAGTGCTAATGAATGCGAATAGTTTGTATCCCATATCAGTTTGTTCAGGAAAACACCTTATGATACAGTAGCACTTTCGACAATCACAAATTATCGCTAGTGAGACGAAATCTACTTCTCATTGGCCAGACGATATCTAACTCTTTAGTGAGACAAAATCAACTTCAATTTTTCCGCCCAAACTGACCTTATATATGTGCTACAGCAGCTGGCAGTTGACCAATCAGCGTCTCTGCTCATCTGTAGTTATATTTTGGGTTAGCATATCCTTTCAACTATGGAAAGTTTGACAGATGAACTTTGTGAGTTAGACAATGATTGGGAGCAAAGTGCAAATGTAAAAAGGAGCATCATCGCACCCATTCGGCCATATTCCAAAATTATTGATGAAAGAAAACAAAAATCTAAACAATTACAAATGGATACTGTTTTCCAAAAAATGTAAGAGATCCGAAACTTTGAAATATCATTTGTTTTTCTTAAGATTTTTTAATAAAAACATTTTATTTTATCATAAAATACATTTTAAAAAATTAAATTTATAATATATGTATTTTGTATTATATTGTATTANAATATATTAATCTAATATAATTTTTAAAGATCTTAGTCCAGAATTAAGAAAAATCATTTGTTTAATGATGATGCCCAATTACAAAAAGAGACCAACAGCTGATGATATTTTAGCAATGCCAGTAATTCAAAAGGTAGGAACAGTAATCACAAAAATACATAGCTACAATTTCTAAAATAATGATTATTTAAAACAACTTTAAATAAAAACAAAAAAATTTTTAGGTTTTGAGGAGGAGACATATGTACATAAAAGGAATGAAAATTGTATGTATTCTAATGAAGTAATTTTAAAAACTTGAAATTCCATTAGTCTAATTAAATAAATTTTTAGCTGTGCAGTTTTACAAGACTATTTCATTGGTTATTTCTACTGCTGTTGTCGTTCTTGTCAGTAATGATGTATCCATTCAAAAAACTTCTACATAAGAAACGAAAGAATAAATTATGATCAAACTTATTATCAGTTAATAATAAATTTATATTACAGTCTCAGCAATTATACTGAACAAAATCATGATATTCCTGAATTAGTAGTGTGGAATTATTTAGTTGATCTCATTCAAGTATGTATTAAAGTATAATTAATATAGAAATAATACAATTCTTTAAAATAAGAACTTTATTAAAACTCTTAATATTATTAAGTCAATAAAGTTCATAATATTAATGTATTTTTATATTCATTTTTTTAGGCAGTGAAGCATCTTCATGATCATGATTTAATTCATCTAGATATTAAACCAGCTAATATATTCATTTCAAAAGATAACATTTGTAAATTAGGTGATTTTGGGCTAGTATTGAATTTAAAAAAGGTTTGTATTTCTGTAATAATTATTTTATTGAAAAATCAGTTGTTTGATAATTGTTTTATAAAATAAACATTGCATGCAATCAAATTTCTTATTTGTAACTCTTCTAATTTTTGTGTGCAATAAACTTGCATATAGCTGGAGTGTTGAAACTATTTTACAAGAATTTAAGTTGAATTACATAAGTTAATGGCACAGAAATCAATCCGATTACATTGTGGGATTTTTTATGTTTAAACAAAAAAAAAAACAAAGAAACATGTTCAGGCTCTATAAATTGATTGATGTTATATAAAAATGATAAATTTAAACTCATTTGTATATAATTTAAAATATTACATTGTGTAATTGTATGATAAATTATTGCATAATGTTTTCAAAACAGTAATAGGATAAATGAAACAATTTCAATATTCTGTTTGGATGGTCTGATGATTACAATTCATCAGGTCTTTATTTATAAGAAGCTTAATTTTGCTATAATTATTACAGTAAATCTTAGCTAACTTAGCCAAGTAGAGGGTAAAGATTGTCTGAGTTTATGAAAGTCAGTTAGTGGAATGTTCTCTCTGATAATATGGATATACAGTATACAATACAGTAATTTATTATGATAATCTCTATACATTTTTGGTGAGCTGGGAGTACTATTGAATTTATTATTACAGGATGTGAACTCAAAAGATTTCATGACAACACAATATACAACAATGTATGGTTTTCAGTAATTTATTTACTACAGTAAAATATTTCATGGTAATGCAAAGACTTCCAGAAATTGAAAATACTTGTTAATAATAATTTTTCTATTGTCAAGAAATTTTAAATTAGTTTCAAAAAAATTCTTTAGAGTTATGTAAAGTCTGAGTTAGTGGGGATTTACTGTGTTATTTTTGAAATTTAATGTATTTTAGGTGGTTTTGTTTCAAATATTTCATTTTTTCTGTTTTTATTTTATAAATTACATTTACAATGTATTGCTAATGGAAATAAAATGAAAGAAATGGGAGGAAATAAAATACAATGTCTGAGATTATGTCTTCTAAATTGCACATGGTTAAATTGTATGCTTTCAATTGCAACTTTGGAGGTATCTATGGCAATACAGGCTATGTAACATTATTATCAATTTAGCAATTTTGTGCAGAATATATGTCACTGAATGCTATATGCCAGAAATTATGGGAATCTTTGGAGTAGAACATTATTTATAAAGGTTGAAACCAGTTTTTAGTTAGAAAAGTGTGTACTTAAATAAATATAGCAAAAAATTTATTATTTTATTCTCATTAGATTTAATTTTGTTTAATTACAGTGTGTCCTATTGATTTAAGTAATGAACATGACTTATTTGTTTCCAAAATTCTTTATCAATTAATAATTATTTAAAATAAATATCTGTAAAGAGATGGCAAATGCTACCAAGTAAACAAGTTTTTGGTATATGTGTACTTTGTGCTGCAGTATAATTTTATAACAGTTTTGCAATAGTTTCATAAGATAATTATGCTGTAACAAAAAATTTTATATTTTTTTTATTTAACTAGAAACACATGTAAGAAAAATAAATTTACAGCTTTATTTAAAGTATCATTGTTTTACATTCAAGATGAGACTTGGCGCTCATTTTATCTTGAGCTTTCTGATGAAATGATCCTAAAGTAATAGTTATTGAAATCATAAAATAATACTTATTGTTTTAGAAAGTGTCAATCTATAAAATTAAATAATTTAGTTCAGTATTAATTTTTATGAGCTTAAATAAATAAAAAAAATTAACTTTCCTTATCATTCTTCCAACAATAATTTTTATCTTTGACTTACAAGTTAGTCAAAAATAGGAAGAATGACAAAACAAACATATCAAATTTTTTTTATTATTTATAAATTTTGCATATTTCATTCAAATTTTTTAAGAATGATTTATCTGAAGCTCAAGAAGGTGATCCTAAATATCTGGCCTTAGAATTAATGGAAGGAAAATTTTCAAAAGCGGCAGATATCTTCAGGTTGGTTGACTCATTTTCAAAGATTCTTAATAAATTATTTAGCTTTTTAATTAAATAATTTTATATTTAATAGTCTTGGAATAACAATTTTAGAGCTAGCTTGTGATTTGGATTTACCTCGAGGTGGACCAGGATGGCATCAGTTAAGACAAGGAAATATACCTAATGATTTTTTAAATTGTAAGAATTATTTAGTTGAAAACCTTCCACTTTAAATATTCTATAGAATATATTAATCTAATATAATTTTTAAAGATCTTAGTCCAGAATTAAGAAAAATCATTTGTTTAATGATGATGCCCAATTACAAAAAGAGACCAACAGCTGATGATATTTTAGCAATGCCAGTAATTCAAAAGGTAGGAACAGTAATCACAAAAATACATAGCTACAATTTCTAAAATAATGATTATTTAAAACAACTTTAAATAAAAACAAAAAAATTTTTAGGTTTTGAGGAGGAGACATATGTACATAAAAGGAATGAAAATTGTATGTATTCTAATGAAGTAATTTTAAAAACTTGAAATTCCATTAGTCTAATTAAATAAATTTTTAGCTGTGCAGTTTTACAAGACTATTTCATTGGTTATTTCTACTGCTGTTGTCGTTCTTGTCAGTAATGATGTATCCATTCAAAAAACTTCTACATAAGAAACGAAAGTTCTTCACTCCTCCATTAGATAGAAATCCTCATCCGTTGGAATGGGATCATAGCTTTTCTGATGGTAAATATAATTTAAAAATTTAAATGAAAATGTTTTTTTTATTAAATTATGATTATAAGGCTTTTCATTATCTAAAATTTTATACTTTATCTACAGTTGTAATTTTTAAATTTATATTAATAAATAATATAATTAATAAATTTATAGATGAAGTATTTGAAGAAGAAATAATGAATGCTTCTCAAAATTCTATGGCAGTTCCTCTATCAGATTCATCATCTAGTGATAGTAAAAATGGTAGCTTTTTAAATTCAAGGTAAATATATAGTTAAATGGAATTATTTATTTAATGACTAAATTTGCATATATAATATCTTATAGTAATAGTAAGACATTATCTGGACGTAAACTTTTATATCTTTTTTGTAATACAGTAATTATATTATATTAGATTGTACAGTACAATCTAACAATATCAGAGCAAAATAAAATCTACAATAGCTTTTCTTTCATTCTAACTGTGTTAAAAGATTTTTAATAGATTAATTTGTAGCAATGTATTATGAATTGTTAATAATTCACACCGGGGTTTGTAAAACTTATTATTTTTGGCAACTCATCATCATCTCAGTCTAAATTAAGTCAAATTTGCAGGACTATACTGTATTTATAAAAATATTAATTTATATCAAAATATTTATAAAACTTTATTTGTGAGTTATTTTCATGCTAATAAATTACTTATATCATGGAAATGGCTTTGGAAATGAAAGTACTAATATCAGTACAGTAATAAAATATATGCAATACACTTATGTGTATTGCATATATTTACAATATTTGCATATTTTTTTTTTACTTACATGATAAATGGAAGGAAAGAATTTATTCTTTTATTATTTTTGTTTTCATTATATTTGTTTCTTCAGTAGTTTCTTGTCGTTTTTTTTTAAGTCTTCATTTTTCTTAATATTCTTTTATGATAATTTTTGCAAATGTTTCTTCATCAAGTGTAATTTTTTACCGGTGTTTAATTCTTCCTGGATATGTATTTCATGAAATGTTGTATACTTAAGATATTTACAGTTACAATAAATATTAGAGCTTACTTTGTGAAGGCTGTGCTCATGAGCATATTGGGAATTTAATTGTTTCCAAATGGGAGGAACACTCATTTGGCAAGAATTAAAAAATTTAATATAAAATTCAACTGTATATTAAATATTTTTGTTCTTGCTTAGTTTCTCAAAGTCTGCTGTATTATATTACTCTATATAACTATATTGTAAAAATTTAAGCTGTTACCTATTAAATTTGATCTTAAATCGTTCATAAAAAACATTATTTTGTGTAGTAGTAGAAGAAGAAGTTTCATGATATAGATGGAAAAAAATGGAAAAAAATTGTGTGTGTGTGTTCTTATGTGACTATAGTCAAGTCCACTTAAAGCACCCTTAAGATTGCAGCATGATGCTTCCTTATCCAAATTGACATCACCTAGAGAGGTATTCATAATGTTGAATCTCTTCATTTCTTCATGTCTTATGAGCTCTATATATCACACTTGGAAACATTAAAATTCATTATCACATAATTGTACTGTACTTACTTATTGGTTTCCATTCTTATATCATCAATTTTATCATTTTATTGAAAATTCAGTAAATATAGGTATATGTATAAATATAGACATAAAAGAATGACCAGTCATTCTCATATGTCTTCCCAGAAATACAATAGGAAGCCTAACTGAAAAGATATGATGCACTTGCTTCAAAATTTCTTAATGTTCTCTATTAGGAGGGCATTAAGAAATTCATGTTTAGTATAAAAATAAATAAGTACAATACTGCAAGACTAAAGTTATTTTTTATCAAATCCTATTATGATAATTTACATAGTGCATGTAGTTCACTTCTATATATCATAATTATTCATATAATAAAAACCTAAACAAATTTAAATAAAGAAATCCATGATGTTATTTTGATACAATTACTTGCAGCTTTCTTTTTAATTAGTAATCAGTAAAATTTTCTTATAAATATTTTCTTGCTCTGCTTGGGTGAAATAGTGCATATTTATGAGAAACAGGTTTTGTTGATTCATGAACAGTTTCCATTTTGTCTTAATCTTGTTCAACCACTGAATCTTCCTCCACTTGCTTTCTTTTAACCTAGAGGTTCCCAAATATCTTTGACAGTCAACCCTTCAAGAATTTCTAAACTTTTTATCTACACTCTCTACTTTACTATTACATAATTATAATAGGACAAGCAAAAAGACACTTTTGTGATTTTTGTGACTTTTGTGAATTTTATTTAGTAAAATTAACTGATGTTGTCAATGTGACGGGTGTGCCTGGTGACTTGGCACTATTGGGTTTAAGATTAGTGAGTTTTAGCTTTAAATCTCCACAAAATTCTCTATCTAACCTGTTTCTCTGTTTTGTTAAGATGGAAATAATATGGCTGAAAACAATTTCAATTATATGCGAGATTGGAAATGCAAGAAAAAGGGGAAGTACCACATCAGAAAGTTTTGGATATTTTTGTACAACATTTATATTCATTCAAAAGTAACTTAGTCACATTTTTAAAAAGCATTTTAGCTTCAAGATTAACCGACAATTCAATAAGTTCATCTTGTAAGTTACATTTGATGTTTTCAACTTCTGCAGAAAATGGGACAATAACCCAAACTGGGATGTGTATATTTCTAAATCATAATTTATTTTCAATTGCTGTAAATTCAAAAAAGTATTGAAAATCTCTTCATAACAATAAAGATTTAAACAAGCCTAATTTGACTTGGAGGCATGAAAGTGTTGTCTGAGCTTGAATAATCATGACATAGACGAGTCCGAGTATCATTAAATCTTGCAAATAAGTCCACCAAGTAGAAAATATGGTTCTTATTTCTCTTCAGTTCATCACTCAAAAACAAATTAACATCTGTAAGAAACTAGTTGAGTCAAACAACTCAGCAAGTCTTTGTAAACTCACCTGTAGACAACCATCTTACTTCAGCTTGTAAGGGTAATTGGTTTGATAATTTATTGTTTTTTCACAAAATTTGCAAATAATTGTGATTTAAGAGGATGAGTTCTAATTTGATTAATAGATTTAATATACATCTTTAGTGTATCATGCAGCTTGTCACTGAGAATTTTTGCCACAGATGGTTGCAACACATAACGAATAGTATGTATACTGGAAACTTTTTCTTTAAGAAATGTAATGAACCACCATTGCAGTTGTGCCATCCGTTGCTGCTACTGTAATATTAGTAAGTGGAATATCATAATTATTTAAATATTCCTCCAATCACATGAAAATTGTCAACCTTGTTATATCACTTTCAAGATATTTTGCAAATAAAAATTCATCAATAATTTGATGTTTGATTTTACTGAAATATCTTATATAAGCCATAAGAATGGAAGAACTTCCAAAAGTGGATTAATCAAGTTGGATGGAAAACTTACTATGAGGCTCTGATACTACGTTTTTTTCTACATCTTCAGCTATTTCATCAATATGCCTTTTAATGGTATTCACACTCAATGGTAAGCATTTTAAAACAGGACCAGAGTCTTTTTTCATTATAGTTTCAATTACTACTTTAATTGCAGGAATAATAATGATCTCTGCAATTTTATATGGTTTTCCCTTTCTTGATATATTAAGAGAAATATTGTACAAGGCTGTTAATCCTCATCCATTGTAAGCTTCACCAGGCTCTTTCATAAATGATTTTATATTTGTCTATGTGTGCATTTTTTTTTTTTCAGTTTTTTACAAAAGTCCACATCTTTGTCCTTATTAGGATGGGCTCTTGGAAGATGATCTTTCATTTTTGCTGGTTTCATTGCATCCTTACTGAAAGGTTTTTCAGAGAAGACACATTGACCTCGTTTGGTTTGTTAATGAAGGAATAAATTCAAGGTTCATATATTCTAATGAAATTTGTATGCATTTCTTTTCAGAATCTGAAGCTACAATTGCAGTTACTGTAGCTGTAACAAAATAATTAAAATTGAAGTTAGTAAGTAAAAAGTAATGTCTCAATAATATACTCATGTATTTCTATATACCTATATGATATGCAAAACTAAACAGCTATGCTCAACACTTCAACACAGAGATGTGTAGTTTATGAATGAATAATTAAACTGAATGACTAAAGTTAGTAGTTCAGTCATAGCGGTGATCAACTCTTCACTTGCCTATATTAGATATTGTCCAGCTGTGAAAGTTGTGAAGACAAATTCAAATGTGAAAGGGGAAGAATATAGAAAGATAAGCAGCTGAAAATCTGTCTGCTCTTTGTTTCTGTTGATTTCTTTTTTGATAATAAGTAAAAAAAATAATATACAATGCAGTTATCATTTATACATTATTTATATAATACTGGGTTATTTATATAGTACTATCATTTACACTTATAATAATGTATTTATGTTATGTTATATACACTGTTGTATTTTATAAGTATATATGCATATTAGTTTCTTTTTAATGCAAAACATTATCTGTCTTGTTGAAATTTTTATTGCTTTTAGCTGATTCTAAAACCACTTATAACTTGTAAACATCCCCTCAGCTTTGCAGCTGTCACCCCTATTTTGTCACTAGACTTGTTCAGTTAGCACATGTGCATTTGCACTGATGGTCACAGTTATGGCAAATGGATTATATTTAGCTATTTATTACTGTATATTAGGAATTTTTTAATCAACTTTTTCATATTGACCCCTATTGACCACTTTGGGAATCCCTGTTTTAACCGTATTGCATATTTCAACAGATACTCAAGAAATACTGTAGTATAGAAAACTGTTGTGTGCATTAGTGGTGGTGATATATCACACAAGATTAAAAATATAAATGTTCTTTAGAATAATACTCCCTTATGTGGACTTCTGCTCTAAAAATTCTGTCAATATGGTACTTATTTAAATTGGACGTAGCTGTTCTGCTATCTAGTGCTCTGTTAACAGAGCCATTACATGTGAAACACAGGAAAAAAATTGGAAAAGTGATTTTTTAAGTGAACTGCTTTTTTATTCAATGTTCTGTTAAGTAAACTTGACTTTAAGCAAATTTTACTGTATTAGATATTGTAATCATTTTATACTTGTCTTTACTGATGATGATAACTGAACAATAACATTAAGTGGGTAAGTAAATAAGACTATATATTATTAATATGGGAAAATTTGTTGATTGACAATTACTCCTAAAGGGATATGTAAAAATTGATAAATTTTTAATTGTTGTTGTTATTAATTAACTATCCAATGTTGCTGGTTTTCCAATACCATTTTAACACCACTATATAATTGAAATGCCAGAAATTTAAACTTTTGTATTGTAGGCAAGTAGTGATTAAAATGATTAATGTTCTCAAGTTAATGTTCTAGTTAAGATTGATAATGCACAATTGGTATTGGTTATTGCCACATATTGAGACTGATAAGCTTTTTTTTTTTTTTCTATTTACCTGAAGATAAAAAAAATTTATAACCATATTCTGATTATAATAAATTAAGTTCTATAAGTGTATTTTAACTTGTTTAGGGATGTGTTAATTCTAATAATTAATGTTCTCAAGTTAATGTTCTAGTTAAGATTGATAATGCACAATTGGTATTGGTTATTGCCACATATTGAGACTGATAAGCTTTTTTTTTTTTTTCTATTTACCTGAAGATAAAAAAAATTTATAACCATATTCTGATTATAATAAATTAAGTTCTATAAGTGTATTTTAACTTGTTTAGGGATGTGTTAATTCTGATAACATTAAATTTACAATGAATGGATTCTACTATATTTTGAATAATATAAATATATTAGAACTGTCTGAATTTGTTCTGTAAAGTTTAAAGAACATTGTAATTGTAGTTTAAAGTCTTTTATTTTATGATCATATTACAGTACTTTGAAAACGGATGTAATTTTTTTAATATAGTTTGATAATTAAAGGTAAGCTAATTATTTTAGTTAATTATTTAAGTTAATTATTAAGTTAATTATTTAAGTAGAACAAGTTTAAATTACAATAAAATTTTATGAAGAAGGAAAGAAATTATTTCTGGCATTAAATATATAAGATAATTATATAGAATGCCAAAATGGAAATAAAATTTAAAAAAGTATTATGTCCATTTATTTTAATATTGTTATCTATTATGAATTACAAGACTAGGGAAACTATTCTGTTAATAATTAAAATACCCTGAAAGGAATAACAGATGTATTTCTCATATAATATAATTTTAGTTCTTATATTCATGTATTTAAATTTGGATTTATTTGATTCAAAAATACAAATGTTTTATTAACATGTTTTTTATATGGTTATTACTATATTGTGTTTTTGTAATTTGGCTAAAAAATGGGCTCATTGGCTATATTTTGGCTACTTAAATTATTTCATCGTTTATTTCATCCTAGAATGGCAAATCTACTGGTGTTATTTTTTTCACACAGTTTTATAGTTTATTTATTATTAGTAAAAATGGGCAAAGTATTCTCGGATATAAAGAGATTCTTAGTCAACTTTCAACTTAAATAGTTGTGGTTTGATAAGTACTTTTGGAATAGTAGCAAATTAGTAGTCATAATAAAACGGGACAAGAAGCAAACAACAATAATAATAATGAATAAAGATTGCCTAAACACCACAGCACAGTTGATTAGAACAAATTAAAAGCAGTACCAGCAGAATCTCTCTTTAACGGATCGCGGAACCACGATTTCTCGAAATACCGAATTTGTTTCTAAACCCATTTATTGTAAAGCGTTTTTTTTACGTTCAGTTAATATTTGGGTGTTTTCGGGAATTGGTAGAGTTCGTCGATGCACTCGAAGAATTGAACGAACAGCGATTGAGGAGGAAGGAGCCACCTAATAAAAATTCTGACGCTGGCCCAAATGTAGTGCCGAAATTTAACGAGGCCATCAGGTTTTTCCTTGTGAAGACCTTCCTGACGAGTTTCATCGTAAATGAATAGGCTGTGCTGTACAGTACTTGACATTGCGAATATCAGGCGGTCGTATTCAATAGTCAGAAAAGCGGCATAAAAAAAAGAATATAGACGAATTTTTTTAAGACGACCTAGTAAAATCAAGTAAGTGCTAATGTGCATACGTAATTTGCCTCTTTTTGTGCTTACAGTATATAGTTTCCGTCAGCTTCGTCGTGCCACACGTATGGCGTAATATAAGACCTTGTAACATAAGTGTTTCTATAGAATAAAGAGACTAATAATTTAAAATACAGTTAGTTTTTACATGTAAAGGGTTAAAAATAATTTTTGAATTACTGATATTGTCCTGGGTATGCAGAAAATCCATTGTTTGCGATATTATGGTTTCTCGGAACAACGGATGATTTTAACGACCCGATAGAACGAAATTCTACTTGTATATGGTATTTTGGATGATAAATTTAATAAATTAAAACACTTGGTTTGTTTTTTCTTTGTTATAACCAAAACAAACTGATGAAGGGTATTGATGTACTCGAAATGTACATATTGGTTTAATGAAATCTTTGTCAACTTTCAGATTAAATAACTGTTGTTTGATAATTTCTATGGAATAGCAGAAAATTAGAAGCTGTTAAGAATATTAGGAAAATTAGGATATTAAATAGGAAAATTAATTTCAATAGTCCATCTTGGCGAGATTATTTGTTCCATTTTTTTGCATATGATTATGTTCTAGACCAGTGTTTCTCAACGGGGGCAGTAAAATATTATATTATATAAGAATAATTCGATATTTTATTCGTTATATCGTACGATAATTAAACAAATAACATTATACTAGTCACTAGTCTATTCGATGCAGTACGAATTTGGCGTTAGCCTTGTCCCTCGGCATCGGAATTTTGTAGCGAAGGGGGCGATACTACGTAACAGTTTTATTGAAGGGGGCGACGATTCGTTAGAGGTTGAGAAACACTGTTCTAGACATAGCAGTGAATTACATTTTATGCATGTAGTTTGAGTCTTGGATGCTTATGTTCAAATCAATTTGTATGCCTGCTTCAAGCCTGTAAATTTGGCAGAAAACGTTAGTTCTGTGATTTATTGCTGGAAAAGTACGAAATGTGTGTTTCATGATTTTTATCGTCAAATCTCAAATTATTAAAAAAAAATTTTTTTGAGTTGGCTTCTAAGTACTTTTTAGAACGTTTTGGCTACAGAAGCTAGAAACATCTGGCAACGTGGAAGAAGTCGATTCAAGCGCCATCTCTATTTTATTTAAAAACGTGTAACTATCTATTTGGAAGAAAGTTTAATTTTTTTTTGCGTCTTACTGTCGATTACTATTTTTGTGTATGTTGACTAAATATTGTTTATGTAAAAATTGTAATAAAACGCAACTTGGACGTGAATAGTCTCCGAGGTACTAGATTAAACTACCGAAGGCAATCGGGACTAAACTATATTTTATAGAAATGACTTCATTCAGAATTCTAATTTATTATCTTCAGGTAAATAGGCATTTAAGTATCTCCGTGTTATCAGCAACATGCGCAAATTCATTAGTTATCAATTAGTGCTATCGGACTTGCCTCGAATTCTAATCGTTATTTGTTCGCCGTGCATTAGTTCGGTTCAAATTTTTGGAATTGTTTTGCTTCAGTTATTTGCCGTTGTTCAAATTGTTGACGATAATCTGTGTTTAAAACCTACAACGTCCGTCGGCATAATGGCTAAACAAGTTGTCAAGCGCAAAGATTTGTCTGTCAAAGAAAAACAAGAAATTTTACAACGTTATGACAAGTTGCCAGAAATGAGTCAACGAAAGGCTGCCGGACAGTTACAAATCTCGCAGCCACTTTTATGCAAGATTTTGAAAAACAGAGCAAGTATCGAAATGTTGGCACAGAAAAATGAGAACATAATTCGTAAGAGAAATCGAACCGGAAAAGATAGACAGGTCGAGTTGGCTTTAAAGAATTGGTTCAGTAACGTTCGTGAAAAAGATGTGCCCGTTAACGGGCCTCTGATGCGTCAAAAGGCGGAAGAGCTGGCCAAGGAAATGGGAAAGGACGATTTTGTTGCCACGGACGGTTGGTTTAGCCGGTGGAAGAAACGGGAGAATATCGTGTACGGACACGTTCCTGGCAGGGGAAAGAGTGCCGATTTCGAGGCGGCCGAGACGTGGAGTAAGATGGAGTGGCCGAAAATTATCATTAAATACGCACCAGAGAATATTTACAATGCGGATGAGATGCTGCTTTATTTTCGTGCAATGCCCGATTACGATTACATGATTAAGCGTGAAAGCGACAGAAAATTGGACTCGCTGAAGGAACACGTTACGGTTCTCTGCTGCGCTAATATGCGAGGTCAGAAACGAAGGCTTTTGGTGATTGGAAAAAAAATGAAATCTCTGTGTTTTAAGAATGTAAAGCATTTGCCGGTGGATTATCGCTCGAGTGCAAATGCTTGGATGACTACTACTATTTTTAACAACTGGTTAGTAAAATGGGATATGTGTCTGAAACGAAAAATTGTTTTGTTAGTAGATAACTATACGGCACATAGGTCTGTAAATACATCCTTAAAAAACATTAAAATAATCTTCTTTCCTGCAAACACGGCATCGCTGATTCAGCCGTGTGGTCAAGGAATTATAAGTAACCTAAAGGCTTACTATAGAAGAGAATTACATACGAGAATTTTAGAAGAATTAGATGATACTGAAAGTAAAATGAATGTAAATGATATTGCTAAAAGAATTTCTTTTCTTGATGCTCTACATCTTCTGGCAATGTCTTGGAAGCAAGTATCTAAGCAAACCATTGAAAACTGTTTCAAAAAAGTTATATTTTTTAAAATGGGTACAGAAACATCTGCAAACAAAGCTGATTTTGTTCAAGAAGAAATTGTAGATAAACTTCCAAAACATATGTCAAAAGAAGAGTCTGTTGAAGAAGAAATCATAGATAAACCTTTGCAGGGTATGTCGAAAGAAGAATTTGAATATTGGTTGGCTATTGATGAGGAAATTCAAATGATAACGTCAGGAATATGCCAAGGTGTTAATAAAGATGCTGAAGAATTAGCTGACGAAAATGAAACCATTCGGCAAGAATATAGTGTGGAGGACCCTCCGACAAATGCTCAGATGCGAGCAGCTCTTCGAGTACTTCGTAGTGGTGTGCAACACAGAGCTACTGAATTTCACAAACATTATGAATATGAGCTTTTTATTAATGAACTGTTGCAGAAAAAACAACAGACAAACAAGACTGTTTGAATTACTATATTTCTAGTAATAATTGTAATGTATTATTTGATGATTTATTAATTGTTTTTAGCATATTTTTTTTTAATATCAGAATCAATAAAAACAAATTTCTGATAATTGTAACCTTCTATATTTAACTGATATCATCAAGTATGCTAGCATCATCAATATTTGCAAATTTCAAAATGATTTACAATAAGTAATCTACTGTATTTTGGTATTATTATTGTTTGAGTGTTTCCTATTTGGCATACATACTGATGCCAAGTAGGAAACAAGTGCTATGCTGGATTAAAATCGAGACATAACTACAGAAATAAGTTTTGTTTGTGCTGTTTTTGTATGTTTATTAGTGAAGTATGTCTTGACATGAGAAAAACTAATCCCTACAGTAGACTGTCTCCACATTAGACTTTATTTTTTGTTTAATTATTACTTCATTTTTTTCCCAAAAATGTTACTTATGCAAAAAAGTTTTGATAGAAAAAAATACATTAAATCAAGCAAAACTGATGAGCTATCTCATCTAAAATAATATTTAATGGGAAATCAGCAAGCATATTTTTATTTAAAAAAATTAAAAAATAAAATAAAATTCTAATGTGGAGAGACAGTTCACTGTAGGGATTAGATATTTCTGATGTGGAGATATTAATATATACATACAAACAGTATTAGTATGGTATATGTTTAAGGATTTCTTGTTTGGTATGGAAGTCTTCTGTAGTATGATGTAGGTGCTTTTGTGAAGCTGTATGTTTTAAGACCAATATATATGGTATGCTAGTGCAAGAAAGGAAGGATTATTTTCACAATCAGTATTTTATCCATTCTTCACAGGTGCTTTAATTAATTCATGGGAAAGTTTTGAGTTTTACTAATTTGTTTAATGTATGTAGTTTGTATGTTGAGTGTTTGGAACAGCTATATAATCACAGATAAAACAATGCAATGCAACAGACTAGACATCACATTTATAAACAAACAAAACAAAGCCACATATGTAATATATGGCTTTGTCATTGTATATTGGGTGTTGTTTTCTACAATTATCTAAGCTGTGTATTTGTAGTATGGTACATGGCTGTAAAATAGTTTATCAATCTTTTGATTACTTCATTGTAAGTAGTCAATTTGTGTTAAAAGTTTACAATCCGGTGTGATGTGGAATTTTCTACAAATGATGTCAGTGACTGTTGTCTTTTAATGATGTGCTTATAGTAGTTTCTTGTATTTATTACCTGGTTGTTTAGGTAATCATAAACCTTTGTATTTCATACATTGATAATCTGATCACAATTTGGAACAATTGCTCAGTAGAAGACACTTCAAGACAATTAACAGCAATAAAGTGGGCATTACTCTGAAAATGGATCAAAAAAGTTTATCAGATAAACTTTATGGACATAACAGTGTAGTACAATATTGCTTTTTTTGCTACAAAAAGTGTACAGAAAGCCAGGTAGCATTGGCTCATATATTCACTGGTACTTCAAGGATTAGATGTCTCATAAACTGGCAGTTATAGGGCACTACTGAAAACAACAGTCACACACTCAATCTATCCTGGATACACAAACAAGAAATTGAGTTGATGATTGATGCATGCATGGGTCCTGCAAAAACTGATAGAGATTGGTTACAGCTTGTTGAAATTCAAACCGATAGACAAAAAAGGTAATCTATAAGTGAAATAAAGAAGTTAAAGCAATAACATGCAATAAAGCATTGCGAAACTATAGTAGAGATGATAACACTGTTAGTAAAAAATTAACATCCAAGTATTGATTAAAAGATTATCTTCAATTTTACAGATAATTAGAACAGATAGAGGTTGTGGAAAAAGTTAAAAATCTGGGAACCTATGCAATTAGATTAAGTAAAGGGAGTAACAAATTTTCTACATAGGATACATTTACAGATCTGTTAATCTCAGGGTCAGAGCATTTCAAATCCATTACCTGAAACCCACAAATGGTACAATTTTAATTGAGGGGCCCTAGATAAAGAAGTTTGTTAGAAACAATAATACTTAGCTGGTATAACACAAAGAAGTTAAGAATTCTGGAGCAATTTTTCATTTACATATTAAAAAAGCATATAAACATCATTAATGCACAGGACTTGATAGAACTGGACATCAGATGGAAACAAGAAATTGGGAGGATTTAATTGTTTATAGGACAGAAGAATAAAGGAGGAAGTTCAATATAAGGAAAGGGTGAAAAATTAGCACTTTTAGCTGATCTGGGAAGCAAGGTTAATACTCCACATATGTGGGATTGGTTTTTACAAATTAGAAGAAAAATGCGTTATTTCAAATATTTTTCAATTCTCAAAAACTGAAAGTTCAAATTTGGTTGGAATAGTGCTTAGATTTGTTAGGAAGCTGAAGCTTTCCTAAAAATATTCCTTCCTGGTATATTTAAACAGTTCACTTGAAATAAACATTTAATACAAATATTACCTCATGGGTTCTGGTTCCATATTATCATAATATGGAACCAGAACCCATGAGGTAATATTTGATAAAATCACCTGGATTCCTTTTTATTCTATTAAGTGTTTTGCATTTGAAAAATGTTGGGAACATTGGTCTCTAGACCAGATGTTTCCAACATTTTTCATGTATTCTTTTAAGAAAAGTTTTTCCATTGACTCTCCTCTCTTACATATACACAATGTGATCCAGACTACTCATAAACACCATTTTAAAGTAAACATAAGTGAGTTTCATCAAAAATTTTGATAAGTAAATCAGATATACTGTCAAATGTGATACTCAATTTTCCAAAATGGGCTATTCAGGCCTAAAGTTGAACTTTTAAATGCAACATGGTATTTTTTTAATTTAGATTTGGATTAAAAGCAAAAAATTTTAAATTTTGTTTTAAGCATGTTTTTTGAAAACACCTCCATTAAAGATTGAAAAATGATCTTGCAAGTGTGATGCACAGAGAAAATAATACTGCAAAAATAAGAAAATATCTCACAACAAAATATTTCTGTTAATACGTGGTACGATCCAAGTTTGGGACTGCAGTAATGTATGACAACAAAAGCATGTATTTGTAGTTACTGCATATGAAATGGATTATATCACATCATTCCTACGTATTCAGGTTGGTTTCGTCCATGTCACGTGATCAAACCGTGAGCACTGTTGTTTACTTTCAGAGATAGTTACCTTTGTTTTGCGATGTAATAAAATTGGAGTTTCAAGAACAGCTCTGCAACGTTAAATTTTGTCAGCATTTAGATAAAACACCTATGGAGACTTTAAACTTGCTAAGAAAGGTGTACAAATGGCATTGGTATTTTAAAGAGGACTGAGAATCAATCTGCCATCGCAGATTGATTCTCGGCCAGGTCAGCTAGAGCATTCATCAATCTGCGATGTCAGATGATGAACGCTCTGGCTGACCTTCGACTTCATGGAACAAGGAAAATGTTGAGTTGGTCTCTCAATGTGTTCTCAAAGATCACCGCCAAACCCTTGAAAAAATCGCTGCAGCTACTCGCTTATCAAAGACTAGTTGCCAGCGTATTTTAATGGAAGATCTTAACATGCACTGAGCAAAGAGAAAGTCATAATGGAGGTGTTTTTTGATTCTGAAGGAATAGTTCATTCAGAATTTATTCCTGAAGGAAGAACAGTAAACAAGGAGCATTATCTAGACATTTTTATGTCATTTGAGGGAATCCATTTGTTGTAAACAGCTACAGATCTGGCAAAGTGGAGACTGGTACCTTCTGCATGACAACGCACCTGCACATCAGTCCCAAATGGTCACACAGTTTCTCGCCAAAACTCAAATTAATGTGCTTCCACACCCTGCCTATTCACCGGACTTAGCCCCATGTGATTTTTATTTGTTTCCATTAATGAAAAAGCATTTGCAGGGACGCCATTTTGTGCCATCAGATGAGGTGAGAGCAACATCACAGGGAGCCTTATGGGAGGTTTCAAAAAATGGCTTCCAGCAGTTCTTCCAGAAGTTATACGAGTGCTGGCAAAAGTGTATCATTGTCCAAGGTGATTACTTTGGTTGTGCATTGGCAATATAAACTTTTTAAGGTAAGGAATTTTAAGACAAGTCCCCGAACTTTTGGATTGTACTACGTATATTGTCAGTTAAACAAAACATAATAAAGATATTGGCAATCATGTTTAATTTAATTGATGCTGAACTACCAAAAATTATTACAACTGCTACATATTACGTTTGTTTACTCTTAGTTCATAAGTAGTTCTATGAATTTTTTTCTTTACAATTCTTTTTATATGGGTCGTCAACAAAAAATTTTGTGTTTTGGAAATATCTATCAAATGTCTTTAAAAAAAATTAAAAATGCATAATGGTATGAATCTAGAGATTCTTACCATTACACATTTTACCCCAAAGTGGACTTAAGGCTTGGGCACCTAGCAGCTAAAGAGACTCATTATATGTATTTGGTTTGTTTAATACATGTGTTGTAAAGTCTGTGTAGTATTGTGTTCTAGTATTTTACTATGTTTCCTAAAAACTTATTGTATGTATTTTGTATAGGTGTGTATGCAGTAATATGTAGATGCTGTCACATGCATTCCTGTAATCAATTATGCTATGAGTAGGTTTATGTGCTTATTGTACAGGGTCTGTGAAAAGGTACTGTGCAGTGAGAAATTTGTAATAATAATAAATTTAGATGTTTAGCATTGCATACAAGGCCTGCAAGTTGTATGTCCCATGTCTCCACTTTGCAGTAGATGGCATTACTGCTTGCACAGATGTTCTGGTTTTAGACTACAGCTTTTAGAAGACTGCTGATTGGATAATCTCTCAAGGAATCTGGCCTTCTGTGTCTCAGCACCTCACTTCTGATTTTGCGATTGCTAGGGGTCAGTTCCAGTATTTGGTGTAGGAGAAACTGTAATAACTTATGTAAAACTTCACTTTAATTAGAACTGAAACCTCATATTAAATAATTCTTTAACTCTGCAATCTTACCTTTGCATGTGTATGAAAATACACTTGCAATTCAATGATCAAAATAGAATTATAACTTTGTCTTATTGGTTGCATAGATTGTCAAATGCATTTTGAACCAACTTTCATTTTAAGACCCCTCTTTTGTGTTGCAGTAACCATACATTTAAATACAAATATATGTAAATATATAACACAAAATTTTATTAATGTTGATACATAAAAAATGAATAAAAATTAATACCAATACATTAACCCAAAAATGCTTTGAACTGACCAAAAGAAATATTTACTTAAGCCTTTTACATTTCACAGTAACACTTTGGACACATTATATATGATATGATTAAATCTATGAGTAATTGTTCTATATATGCCATGTAGTTTCTATAACAGCCTTTTTTGTTACTCTGTGAGAATGTTGTTGTGTTCTATATGTTGGTATATTTTGTTTGTGATGCATGAAGTATTTTATAGTATATAAGAAAGCATATGATTGGTCCATATTGTATAGTGTCTCCATTAATCACAACAGAATCAGAAACACTTATAATAAGCTGAAACATATAATGGATTTTGAATAAGTTCTCATCAGACTATTGAGCACTTATTGAGTATTTCATTTATACAAGTTATATTTATATATAAGAATCCAGTGAGAAAACAGCTTTCCCACTTGTTCCACTTAAAATAAATTTATTTTACTACTATTACATTTAATACATGTGCTTGTAATCTGATTTTCCAAATCAGAAAATTTGGGTGAATCAAGAATAGTAAGTTATCCTGATGAAATGATTTGATATTTTATGAAACATATTTTTTGGTGTGGACAAATGCTAATTTAAAGAAAAGGGCAAAGCTAAACAATTATTAGGGAATTATGGGTTTTTTTGGTATCAGTTTAGGAAAATATTATACAGTAGTGGTAGCTTGACTTATGAGTTTAATTTGTTCCTCGACAGAACTTATAACTCAAATTACTTGTATGTCAAATCAATTTTCCCCATTGAAATGAATTGAAATGCCATTAATCTGTTCCAGACCCTCAAAACACTACAATTTTTTTGTTACATGTTTTTAAATAAGAAAAATGTACTTATAAATAACGAATATTGTATAAAAACACAATAGAATGTACTGCGATAAACTAGTTTTGCAGATGTGGCATTTGCTGCATAGATAAAGAAAGAAAAGATGGAAAATTTGAGAAATGAGAGATGATTACATCGTACATGACATGCAAGTGAACTAATGCCTATATCACTCAATCACATGTTTTTCTATAAGCTAGCCTGTCAGACATTGGAAGAGTAATGAAACTGACAAAATTTTGGTAGTTTTCCATCTTTTCCTTAATCTATGATTTGCTGTGGCATTCACTGCGCCAACTAGCGGTGGGGTATCTGAAGCTGGCTTGTAAGCCGAATTTTAGCTCTCAACTCAAAGCAAAAAATTGCCCAAGAGACTGCTCATATCTTGAAAAACTTGTAAGCTGGGACACTCGTGTGTCCCAGCTTACAAGTTTTTCTCTTCTTTTAATGTACAATGATACCTTGACTTATGTCAAGGTCCACTGTACATTAAAAGAAAATTTTTGAGATGAACTGGTATGGAAACAAATGATAATAAAAAAAGCTTGACATTTTAGTTTGTAGAGTTATTTGGCATAAAGTCAAACATGTTTCAGGTTGAAATATTCTCGATCACATTTTTAATGAAATTTCTATAAAATTTGATTGTATAATTTATAAAGGAGTTTGTTGTGGTTCCAGATAAGTTTATCTGGATGCTTCCTCCTTGTGCAATCCTTTTTTGAGCTTTGAAACTTTTTGTGAAAAATAGTTTTCTATTGCTTTTTCTCTTAAAACCTCACATCTTTATAGCTGAAAAAATAAAATGAATTAAACTTTACATTTTTTTCAATGATTTCTAAAAGAATGCATCATCAAGACCTCTAGGAGTGAGTGTGTACTCTTGAATGCATCTGTCTTAATTCAAAAGAAGAAAACATCGAAGTCCACAGCACACTTCATGCTCCAAAAAATCCCACCAAAACCTAATTAATAAAGCAACTTAAATTTCAACAATCAAATATCATCACTTCTGCTTAAAGATTTGAGAACTCATTATTTCAAAGTGTAAAATATTTCAGAAGGTTGAAAATTTCACTTAGCTGTTAAAATCACAAGATTTAATTTTAAAATTGAGTAAAGAAACATTGAGTTTACAAAAACTCAGATTTTCTTTACAAATTCTGTGTAAAATGAAACAATATTGCTACAAGTAAAAAAATTAAAATCTGTACTCTGATGCTGCATACTCTTATTTAATCTTATCTTATATAGAATGCTAATAAATTCATAAATTATTCATTCAAATAAAATTATAAAGCTTAGAATAATAATTATATTATATAGTAATATGACAGAATGCAATAAAAGTACAGTAATACTTATTAAAAAAGTTATCGTGGACACTTATACTAATATTTTGCACTGGGAGTAAAATCATAAAATAAAAATTCAAGATCTGAATGTGGTTAGTGTGTTTTAAGTCAGCTTGATGGCAAAAACTCCTATTTGCGCATAGGGATTTCTTAACATTGGAAGACATTTAAAGCAATAGAATAGTCCTAAAAATAATAGCCAGAAAAACAACTTCGTGGTATCTAATTAGTTGTTATAGATTATTTTATAAAATATAAATAAGTTATTTACTTATAAAATCAAACAAGATATGAGTAATTCTTGGAGGAACTTGAATAAAAATATTTATGATGCAAGTAATCTATTAAAATACTTAAACCATTATTTTCATCATTTATTATTTTATACATAAAATCTGGAAATTAATCTCACTTCTACTATGCATGGATCTGTATAAGGAAGATGACTTATGATTTTTAAATTAACTGCTTCTGAGATTTTGTCTTGTAAAGTTAGTGCAACTATTGGGCAAATAATAATCAATCAATGACTAACTTTATAAAAAAAAGGATGTCAAAACTGGGCTTAAGGATATCAAATGGTAATGGTACCATATCTATTCATGTTATGTATGCCCACAATACATAAGTCATGGGACATTAGTGCTTCACACACAAATCACACTATAGAAGGCAATCATACTTATAAATCAAACATTATATATGTTTCAGAATTTCTTCACTGACATATGTTTAGTATGACTGCCTTCTATAGTGTGATTTATGTGCTATTGTGAAGCACTAATGTTCCATGACTTGTTTAGTGTGGATATGATGCCTGTACAAGAAAGGATTATTGGCACAATATGTACAGTACCTCAACCATTCTCCACAAATGCCTTAATTCATTATTATTTTTTACTGTTTTTGAGGACAGTAATCACAATGTTATAAGTATTACTTTTATATTGAATAACAAATGTAGATAATGTTTGACAAATGTTTGTATATTTGTCTTTATGCGCATATATATATATATATACAGTATAATAAATGTTTCTTTATTTTTAGAGACTTTCATTTTTAAAGATATGTTTCAATATTAAGTTTGAGTATTTATGAAATGTTATTTGAAAATTACTTTGTTAAACATATTTAGAGTAAATGCCTAGTTTTAAAATGATTTCTTTTTCAAAATTAATATTTCCAGTTATGATATAAATTTTTTCTGTTCTAGTCATATTTTAATTTTAAAGAGTAATATATATTTTTTAATACGTTTTAGTAATAGTTAGTAAATGCAATTTTCCTGTTTTTTTTAAATACTCAAGTCTTTTATTATAATTTAATTAAAAGCAAAAAGGTGTAATTAAAATGGAATTATACTTTAAGAATATTATAATAAAATTGAAAATAATATACAGCTCTTCTGTTATTTCTATAGTTAGAAATAACAAAATGAATTAAGTTTTTTGCTCATACTATACTAATAATGCAGTGTTATAAAATTGACTTTGTTCAGAAAATTATTGACAAGTTATTTGATTAAATAATACAGGTGTTAATGACTTGATGACCATGATTTTTAAAAAGTACAGAAAATGATTTGAATAATAATATATGCCAAAACTTATATAAAATAATTTTGTTTCATATTTACAATAATGTCTTATTATATTGCCTTAACACAAGGAAAATAAATTATAAAGAAAATAATTGTGTATTGACAGTGATTCATATCTGAATTTTTTGTAATTATGGATGGTATTTAAAGATTGTTAAATTAAATTAAGTCCTGTGTATCAAACATCTAAACAATTATTTAAATATATTTTTAGTTTTCATGGCAGACTTTTAAATTCAACTCCAGCCGTGATTAAAAGGCCATCTCCTAACGTGTCTACTCCTTTTTCCGTTTCTGCCTATGAAATGGATTATATCACATCATTCCTACGTATAGCAGATGTTATATATATATATATAATTTTTCTTAAATATAGGAACAAAATGAATGAATTCCCTCTAGCTAGTCCTAGTTATAGAAAGATGATGGAAAGATCTGCAAAAAAAATCAGAGAGAACAGTTCTTTTAATGACGAGGAAGAAGTTTTAAATTTTAGTATCGGACCTAGAAATTTAATGAACGTAAGTAGAATGTTGTTCACAACAAAAATTTTATTTAAAATAAAATTAATTACAAAATATGTTTAGGTTTTCGAAGCAGCATCCGAGGAGACATGAATTATGTACAGATTAGTCAAACGCCTTTTTTTTTAATTGATCAAATTATGATTCTTTGGAATTGTATAGTCGTCTTCAACAATAATTTTTGCTGTATTTGTTCCGGCATCTGGCCAGACAGAAGCCAAGCAGGCTTGTGAGACACATTAACGTTTTACAACTGTGATTTAGATAGATTCTAAATAATAGCGCAGAGGTTTGACTGACATACGCACTAAAATAATAAGAATTTTAAATACTCTTAAAAAAAACTTTTTTTAAAAGACCTATTATCTTGTGCCTTAAGAAAATAATAATTACAATTGCTGAAAGGTTAAATAATAATTTAACCTTATTAAATCTTTTACACAAACGAATATCGCGATATTATTATAAACCAAAGTGTATATTTTTTAATTAAAATGTAGAGTGTAAGTCTTATCAGTCAAAATAAAGAAATAATTTTTTTAACACGGAGAAGATTAATTAATTAATTAAATTAATTGTTAAAAGCTGTAACGAGTAAATACGTGAAAATAAAAGCTTGTCAGTATCAATAAATGACGTTTGTGCAATTCACGGCTTCAAGGTTGAAACAACCTTCACCCCCTAGAATCGGAGCTATCTAGCTCTACTTCCCACTGTCAACAGACCTTGTCCCACATCCAATGTTCCATATTCCACCGATTTGACCTTCCACTGCCCTTGAATGTTACATTTCCACAGTCATGCAACACGACTATCCACCAGGTGCTCGTCCATTTTGGTATCGGGGGTGATCTAGCTCCGTATTAATAGTTAATAATAGGTTACGTAAGCTCGTTCGACCCTGTAGTTAATGTGTGTGTTTAAATATACATAAGCAGAAGAAAATCAATTTTTAACGCATCTAATTAAAGACGAAGGTACCTGAACTTCAAGGTTAGCTATATGTTAGGTCAAGGTTAGGTGTGACGTTCGGAGAGATCTCCCCGCGTAGTTGAAATCATTGATTTCATAATACTAGGGAAGTGGTTATATATAACTACAGAATGTTTTATTTTTCACATATAGGGATGTTTTGCGGTTTGAAGAACGCTAAAGTAACTTGTAAGATCGAACGCAAATCGATTTATTCCTTCCGGGCCGATGCATTGCTCCGAAAAATGCTTCATTTGAAAAGGTTAATCGTCGTTTTTATTTACTTTTCTTATCAAAATTTTTAAATTTAAAGAAAGATTTAGTTAATTGGTTATATTTTAGCATGCGAGTATTAGAATAATTGCGTTGGGCTTAAAGAGAAACTGAGTAGATAAATTATTGATTAATAGACATGATTTTTTAAAGCTTTGTCGAGGGATTAGAAAGGTACCTTTTTAAATAAGTTTTTCGGCAAATTTGTTGTTTCGAGAACGGGGTAAATTTTCGTCTTTTTATTCATAAAACCAGAATATATCAAATGTCTCAAATAATTTGTAAAAACCAATAAAAATGTAAATAACGTTAACGTCAGTGGTTGATCTCAATTAATTCTTGCTTCATAAATTTGAAAACGAATTGGCGTAATTACCAGTCAATAGATGGCGATATATTGTTCAATTTTATGAATGTAGCGAATTCCTTATAAGGGGCTTTCCATAAACGACGCCACACTGAAAGGGAAGTGAAGTTACGACCACTCACTCGAACAAGGGGAGTCGAACTTCAGTGGACGTTCATTTATTTCATTAAATTTTATACAGTATTTCAAAATTCTTGTATGTTTCGTTTCTACCTATGGTATCTATCATTCATAAGGTGATAAAGATTTTAAGGGGGTTGAGTTTTATCGGATGTCCGTTACGGTAGTAGTGGCCTGTGGTAAGATAAGTTCAACGAGGAAAAGCGCTAATCAACACTCGTCTTGTATTGACAGCGCATTGTTTTTACCAAACGAAATGATTAACACGTACGGGAGTTTCTTTTTAACACGGTCGATAACGTGGATAGCAATATAACTCTTATGATAAAGTTTCGTTGATTCATTGATTTGATCCTTTTTTTTTAAGAACTTGCGAATTATCTCATCGGAACTCTTCTGCTTGACACACAATTTTTAATCGTACTTTGTAAAATTGTACGTTTGTCAAAAGAGAAATAAATTCTAATATTATTAGACTAATAAATTTTATAATTATATAAATAGAATATAATGGATCTTGCATCATAAGCATAATATACATTATTTGCAGTCGATGAATATCGTAAAAAAGGTTATCCAGTGTACAGTACGTAAGGACTGCACATAAGAATGTTTAGTTTTTAAAACAACAATGTTGAAACAATGATGTTCTAATTAAATTTATTAGATTCTAAAAGATGCTATTGAAGGTTTATTGAAGGTTATACGGAACAAAATAGAATGAATAGTAACAATATTATAAAATGTTACCAATAATGAAAGTTACAAAAATACTGATGTTTTATAACAAACTTTTAAATCGGACTTGACTATACAGTGGTACCTCAGGTTACGAACGCCCCAGCATACGAAATTTTCAGGATACGATATGAAATTCGAACATATTTTTGCTCCACGATACGAACAAAAACTCACCATATGACATTACATTAGTTCGTATTTTTCATTTGTTTTTCTTACTACAGTTATCTTTTTTAATGTATTACTTGGCTTTAATTTGAGTATGTTTTTCGCGTTGGAACGAATTATTTGGTTTTACATGTAATCGTATGGGAAAAGATGATCCACCTTACGACATTTTCATGATACGATCTCAGTTTCGGAACGGATTAATTTCGTATCCTGAGGTACCACTGTATTAGTTTTTTCACGTTTGGCTGCCGTTTAAGCAATATTGGGAAGGCACGTTATGCATGTAAAGTGCATTAAATGAAATAAGCTTCATTGTTAAGTTTTAAGAATGATTAATTATGACTCGAAACCTCGTCATAGACAACATTCAAATATATAGAAGTTACATTCAACGAATTAAAGCCTCGAATATTTACTCGAATTCCCCAAAAATTATCTTGTAAGCTATTCGTTGTTATAATAATAACAACGAATAGCTTACAAGATAATTTTTATCTTGTACAATTTCTAGTTATAATAATAACTAGAAATTGACGGACCACACTATGAAAAAATAGAGATTGAAGAATTGAGAAGAGTAGCTAATATTTTTATAAATTACACTGTATATAGTCAGCTCAAGTAGAGTTGGCCCATTTTAGTATACTGTAGGGGAGATAGGACGATACGTCTCTCTTTTTGTTAATTTGTAATCAATAATATTTAATAGATGATGATAATACCGATATAATTAATCACAATAACTAAATAATCACGCTCGCTCGACCGCTTTTCGAGACAGAGTGAAGCCCTCGGAAGTTTAAGCGCATTCATAAACAATTCTATCACCCCTTACAGACGCAAAAATAAACCGATCCGAGAGCCAACTCTGGTTGCTCCGACTATATTTTATAGAAATATTATATATAAAAAATACAAGTAGCCTATACTTTTTATCCTAACGTAAGAATATAACCTCAATTTCACTTGGATTGGGCAAAAAATAAAAGTTAGAGAATATTCACAATATTATTATTATGTCAATTACACAGATATTATTATTAATGTCAATTACACAATCATTTTTGCAATGTAAATGTACTTATATCTGTCCAAATCATCAGTTACGTCGCCAGTATGTCGCTGGCAAATACTAATAGCCACGAATCCTGTATAAAGACAAAAGTTTCGTTGATATCCTGGCTTTTGGAATATTTGATTAAAGTGCTTTAAAAACGCCGAGTTTAGGAAAACACGAAATTTCGTATTGTCTACATGGCTAGATATATACTGTGCGGCCATGACTTACACCCTTTCTGATTGGCTACGCCATATTACTTCCACTTTCGAATTGTTACCTGCTTGTGTTTGTGGAAAATTATTCATTAACTCATTTTGTGCATTAATTAATAACAAGTAGTCATTGAAACTGTTATATAATTTATCTTGGAAAATGTATTCTTTATTTATAAATTAGAAAAATTCTAAATGGGATTAATAATAACTTGCTTTTTGTTCCTATTCTCATTACACTATAATACTCAGGTTACGAGACCCCCATAAAAACAGACCAATCACACTTTGGTTACTAATTTATTGACACTTATACTACTACTTAGTAAGTCAAAATGCATTTCGACTGTACGGTCGAAATGCATTTTGACTTACTAAGTAGTTGGTTATAATAACAAAATAATAATTGTTGAAAACAAACAGATTTAACATGATTATAGTGTCCCACACTTTGATGCTTTTACAGAATACATACTATAAAATGTTTTTAAAGAAGGTATTCCTACGGGTTTCAGACATTCCAAATACACGAAGCGTATATCATTGTATGGGTATAAATTATTTAAATTTAACTACTGTGAAAAAAAAAAAAATCCAACAACGAGTTGCTTAACTTTCCCGGCAACATTTAAAACTGCGTGTGCGACACCATCTGTTACGATATTAATTAATTAATATAAAATGGCAAAAAGCTTAATTTCGAGGATAGGGATAGGTTTTATAAAATATATATATTGTAAATGCTAATAACGAGTAAAGTCGTCATTAAATTAAGTCCGACCCTACTCGAGATACGACATACGACTCCTTTATCTCCCCACTCCTTCGACCTTTATCTACCAAAAATTAATAGCATCAATACAAGCCTTCCTGCCAAACTTCAGAATTTATCGATAAAAGACAAATGAGTTATTAAGCTCCAAAGAGGGTGAACAAAATCGTGCCCCCACATCCATACATACAAAAAAAACCCCGATTTAAAACAAATTTTTTTTTGCTTTTTTCGACGTTTCAAGATTTTTACATGTTTGACTCGGCACCTGAGTCCAAAAATGTAAAAATCTTGGGAGGGAGTCATTTTTGACCGATCACCATACTTTCCTATTGTTCCTATAACAGAAACGGGAAAGTAAAAGCATCAAAAATAAAACTGGAAGTTGTGAAAATTGCTTAAACTCAATTTACAATCTAGCCTTAAAGTCTGTTTTTATTTAAAATAGACTCCTTATAAATATAAGAATTCGATTTTTGATTTTGAAAATCGAAATACTTTCCATTACAACGTCATTGACAGAAATCCGCAATAGAAGGAATACGGCGGACGTACTGTACTGTACGTCGTAATCAT